TAGAGAAATAAAGAACAAGACCACTTGCCTGGTAAGAAGACATATTTCCATTTTCTCAGCCTCTTTCAGGGAAGGTCATAAATTCAGTATGATTCTTTGTAAAGCAGCTCCTACAATTTCCTTTATATTTGTGATCAGTATCTAATGGAAGTTATTTTTTGATACTCATGCTGGAATATTTTCTTCTGACATTTCTCAAAGTTTAGTTAAGAGCTGTTGCCTTTTGCTCTGAAATTCATTTGTATAATGGCTAGATCATTCTGTAGGTAATCTCTGTTTTTACTGTTTTGTGCAATAGCACCAATGTGTGTTTAACGTATGTGTATAGCAGTATTAATTGATGAGAGTCCTCCAGAGTATTACAGTTTACAAAGTAGTTCTGTTCCAAAGGTCTGTCCTTAAGTCAAATTTGAATATAAGCTGGAACAGTATTATTGTATAAAACTTATTGTATAATACTGTGAAAGGAGTATTGTGTAAATAACTCAAACCATTTTGTATTTAACTCAAATCATTCTGTATTTAACTCAAATTTTGCTACAATAGGTTCCGTTCTTAACTATGGGTCATCTGTAAACTGGGTGCTCTTAACCCAGGGACTACCTTTATAAAAATAGAATGCTTATTTTCAAAAGGACAGGATTTTACCCAGTCCTTACAACCATGTTGTCATATTAGATCAATATATACCCACTGGTATGATTGTGGTCCATAAGTAAGTACCCTATACAAAGACATGGTGAAAAAAAAATACAAGGAATTTGAAATATAATGTCTTTATTGAGCCTCAGAATCCTGAAAAGTTTCCCTTACTGTTGCTGTTTTAACTATTAATTATTTATGTATTTATCTAATTCACTGAGACCAGATAGTTTAATTAGTTCCTTTTTATCAGACAAGTTTACAACATCTAAATCGAAAGTAGCTCATTTTTTAAATTAATTTTGATTTCTAGCCCCATTCATAACTAAACGGTTTCTAATTCCTTTCACAGATATTAAGCACTTAGGAATCTAAATTGTTGTTGACCTAATAAAAGTATCCCCAATATATACTCTTTTTTTTTTTTCTTTGTTGTCCCTTCAAGCCAGTTTTTTGACTTCTGGTGACTGCCTGGACAAGTCCCTGCAGTTTTCTTAGCAAGGTTTTTCAGAAGTGGTTTGCT